TTTTAAATAGACGACCAGTTAACGTGAAAGGTATAATTTTAATAACTCAATCTGCTCCCTTTTGTTTTCAAAAAAAATAGCGAAGCAGTTAACATCAGAAGCATAACTTTGTAACAATTCTGAAACGAAGCCAAACAAAGCATGACGATTCCCCTTGATGAAACTGTCGCCGCCGCATTTTATGAAACAGCCTTTCACCTTTTTCACGCGGCAAATTTAAAATCGTTCCCGGTGTCGAATGTTTGCTTTGGTGATCGATATTTTCTTACTCTTATTCTCCTCTCCCGTCGCGCTTTCCGCTTGGCGACGCTTGCGAAAATAGGAAAAATCGTGATTCAAAATCACGTCGATCGTATCCAGCCGATGGTCCGCCATTAAATCGTACGCGTGTCCACCGCGTCGAACCAAAACGATATATATGTGTGTATATGTGTATATATCTGCCGTATATCGTGGTGAATTCGAAAGGATATATTGCACGTTTTATTTGCATTCCATTTGCAGGCCATCCGAGTACCGATGTGGCACCGGGAACTGCGTCGCCCAGGACAAATACTGCGACGGCGAAAATGACTGCGGCGACAACTCCGACGAGCCGAAATATTGCACCCGTGAGTCCTTTTTATCTGATATCCGTTTCGTTTCGTTCGATTCCTCCCTCTCGGTTCGCGATTTTCATTCAATTAAAATCCCCCTCTCCCCCCCTTTATTACTCACCGTTTTCGTCACTCCGAAATCAAAGATTCGAGCCGTTTATTTTGAAATTGGCCCAAGTCCATCTTCTAAAAAAAAAAAAAATTAAGTTAGCTGCTTTAATATTTACATCTCTACGTTTTTAAACAAATTGCAACTAACACATTTAAAGTCACTAAGATTTTGTACGTAGGAAATTAATTGGCTAAGATTTGAGCCGTTTATTTTGAAAGTGGCCCAAGTCCATCTTCTAAAAAAAAAAAAAATTAAGTTAGCTGCTTTAATATTTACATCTCTACGTTTTTAAACAAATTGCAACTAACACATTTAAAGTCACTAAGATTTTGTACGTAGGAAATTAATTGGCTAAGATTTGAGCCGTTTATTTTGAAAGTGGCCCAAGTCCATCTTCTAAAAAAAAAAAAAATTAAGTTAGCTGCTTTAATATTTACATCTCTACGTTTTTAAACAAATTGCAACTAACACATTTAAAGTCACTAAGATTTTGTACGTAGGAAATTAATTGGCTAAGATTTGAGCCGTTTATTTTGAAAGTGGCCTAAGTTTTCCAAAAAAAAAAAAAATTAAGTTAGCTGTTTTAATATTTACATCTTTACGTTGTCTTTTAAACAAATTGCAACTAATGCATTTAAAGTCACTAAGATTTTGTACGTAGAAAATTAGCTGGCTAAGATTCGAGTCGTTTATTTTGAAAGTGGCCTAAGTCTATCTTCTAAAAAAAAAAAATTAAATTAGCTGTTTTAATATTTACATCTCTATGTTTCCTTTTCACTTTTAAACAAATTGCAACTAACACATTTAAAGTCACTAAGATTTTGTACGTAGAAAATTAATTGGCTAATGGAACGATAAAAATTTTTATCTTGAAAGTGGCTTAAGTCCCATTTTCAAGAGTTTCAAACTGATACAAAATGTATTATGAAGTACATTATATTTGTCAGGAATATTACGAAGTCACAGAAAAGATAACTTCATTCTAAATGAAATGAATGACGTGGTTTTTAAAAGATTAAAAGATACTAACGGAGGAAGGATAAACTGGTAAAAAATACGTTGGATGCGATTTTTGAGAACTGAACCGTATAAAATATAAAATGAGGATGCACTATTCAAAACTCTGGTGGAGACCAAGAAACTTTAATAATAATGAATCGATACCACTGTACAAAAATATAAGCCCAATCGCAACACTAAAGTACAACGATACAATGGACTTATTACACTATGTACCACCTGTACATCACAATTATTTTAAATCCCTCCCCCATACGCAAATTGGTGAAGAATGAATTATAAATTACCAAATTACGAAATATTATTTGAATGTAACATTTCTTTAATAATGAATAAAAGTTGGATATGTTTTAATTTTATACTTTTATATTTTTAATTTTAAGGGAATTTTATTTTTTTCAAGGGACCTGTGCCTTTTTAAAAATGAAAAGATTTATATCATTAATTTTGAAAGCGGCTCAAGTCCATTTATATCAAAAACGTGTTACTTTCCAAACAATATTTATAGTACTAATTCGGTTGCTAAATTACACACCCTTGGAAACACAAGAACGTTATACTACCACTGTTATCAGTTACCAATACTTTTAAATTTATCAAAACGCAGATTGGTAAATATCTTTACTTAAAGACAAATGGATTCACTTTCAAAATAAACGGCGTAAATTTAATAAATCCGATAAATCTGAGATTTGGAATTTGAATTGCCTAGCTCTGAATTGCTTAGACAGAATCTAAGAGACATTGGAGACAGTTTCTTTCTCGTTCACGTTTTACGAACGTAGTATGTCGATTAAAATTCAATCACTTGGACGCTGGAACTAGCACTCGCCGGAGTGTGTTTTCATCGAGCGCGAAAATTGTCGTGTCCATTGTGCGAGCTATGGAAACGTCAGATTGCCCGTCCCTCGCATCTCGCGTGGAAAAATAAGAGGCGAAACGGCGGTCGTAGATCTCACGAGGAGAGGAAGGATTTTTATCTTTGTGCACGTGGTGTTGCAGCGTGCAACAGAACGTTGTACGGCGACGTCGGCCGGACCTACAGGGTGGAAGTCCGCCGGCCGAGGGAAGATCGACTGCCATTCCTGTGCCATCTCAACTTCACTGCCGCCGGGTCCGATCTCGGAGACTTAGTTCAGGTGGGAGGAGCAAGAGAGCACGCCATTGAATCCAGACCTGGGCGAAAAAATGATTTCCAATGATATTGAATTTGCAAATAAATTTTTTGGAACGACATTTCTTCAGCATTAAATACAAAAATAATAATTTCAATTATTAACGCCAATATTAACGTCTCGCGCTGGAATGAAAACACTTCTCAGTGTTCAGAAGTACATTTAAACGTAACCCAGTTGATTACTTCTTAAGTGTCTCTTTCTCTCGACGCCACTCTCATATTGCAGTTAACGTTCGACACATTCACTGTGGGTCGATTTTCATCGTACACGTCGGAAGGATGCCCGGACGGTTACATGACCATTCAGGAGAAAGGTCGCCCAGCGACCGGAGGTCAATGGTGCGGAAGCGCATGGGGCTACACCGTGTATTACAGCGAGACTCCTTCCATCAACTTGACTTTGTATTTGCTTCGGCTAGCCGAACAGGTGAGCAAACGGATTTGCCCGTTTGGTTATTGTAATGTACAGAAGTAAGAGTGGGCATGATAGTGTTAATGATATTTGATAAGGACAATTGTCGTGTAACTTTGTAAATTTGCAACGAGTTTTAGTTACTGTAACTACAGCAGCCTGTTTTTAATTTCAAAAGTTCTTGCATCCATTTGTTATTAACTCAGTTTTATGAAATTTTAGTCCTACATCCATCCCTGCGATAGATAATATAATTAATTCAATTTTATGAAATTTACATGTGTAATTACACGATCATTTTCATTATAAATATTAGTTAAACTTACTTTTAACAATCGTCCACTCATAACTGCACATGCTTGTCAAAGAGGTCTTCAATCTCTGCTCTCCCCTCTTTTACAAGTGTGTTATTAACTCAGTTTTATGAAATTTTAGTCTCACATCCATCCCTGTGATAGATAATATAATTAATTCAATTTTATGAAATTTACATGTGTAATTACACGATCATTCTCATTATAAATATTAGTTAAACTTACTTTTAACAATCGTCCACTCATAACTGCACATGCTTGTCAAAGAGGCCTTCAATCTCTGCTCTCCCCTCTTTTACAAGTGTGTTATTAACTCAATTTTATGAAATTTTAGTCCCACATCCATCCCTGTGATAGATAACATAATTAATTCAATTTTATGAAATTTACATGTGTAACTACACGATCATTTTCATTATAAATATTAGTCAAACTTACTTTTAACAACCGTCCATTCACTTATGTACACTCATAACTGCACATGCTCAAGCTTGTCAAAGAGGTCTCATCTTCAGTCTCTGCTCTCCCCTCTTTTACAAGTGTGTTATTATAATAGTTAAATACGTAAAAGTTATTACGTATGTAGTAACTTTATAAATGTTTGCAAATCTTTGCAACTTTGTAACTTATGTGTTTCACACGAACTGTTAACAGGGTAGCGGCTACAATTTCGACTTCAAGCTGTCGTACAAGTTCCTTAGACGGAGCGAGGCGCACCTCAGATACGGGAACAGTAGCATGTCCACGTGGCGAGGGGAGCTAGTGAACGGGACGTACTGCGACCGTGTGCTCACGAAGTGCGACACGCGAGCCTGCCGACTTCAATCGCCGAATTACCCGGGCGTTTATCCCCGGAACGTCACTTGTTATTACCGCGTCGAGCAAAATCGGGCGCCGCCGGGCCATCGGGCGTTGCTCGCCGTGAGTCAACGAAACAGTCACAAAATACACATCAAAGATCAGATCGTCAAGTACGACGGCAGCCAAAGGATATTAAGGTATTTCGTCACACGTTTTAATCAACCACTTCTGAATCTGAAATTCAAAGTGTTCAAAATTCAAAATGAGAATCAGAAATTCAAAATAATCCAAAGCTGCAACACTTACGGATTATCCTCTACTAAATTACGTTTGAACAGAGTTGAAACCTTAAAAGTTTTGAACGTTCGATTGATTGCCCTGTGTCTCGAATTGCTAGGTTATGTAACAAGTTTGATAAAACTAACGCGTGTTACAGAGTTGATTGTTCTTTACTTAATGGATCAAGTAACTTCAAAACTCGTTGTATACAATATTTCTATAATTCCACGTGTTTTAATCATCAACTTTGAATCTGAAATTCAAGATGCTGCAACACCTTTGGATTATTTTCTACTAATATATTTCGAACGTCAAGTGTTTGAACGTTCGATTGATCGAACTTTGTCACGAATTGCTAGGTTATGTAACAAGTTCAGTAATGAAATCAATCTTTGTTATACGGTTGATTATTCCTTACCTAATGAATCAAGTAACTTCAAAATATTCTTTCTATGGTTGTAAAATTCTTGTATATTCTTTCTATAATTTTATAATTCTTTAAGTTATATAATATTTCCATAGATCTTTGAATTTTATTGCTTGCAAAGAGAATATTTTCTTTTGCACTGAAACGATTAACGTTTCAATGTTAATAGTACAGTGAATATTTCAACAAATTTAAATCATAATGTCAATCCTTCCTCTAATAACAGATGATTCTTTGAACGTTTAAAATGCTAATAACTTAAAATACATTATATTTTCAGTATTCGTATCGTGCTTGGAACATATTTATAGCGTTTGTTCTCCTTCTGTTCATTAATTACACTCAATCACAATGGATTATGTGCATTGTCCACTGGATTATCTATAATGCATACTCGTAATATCCTCGAGGCGAGTGAATTTATTACGCGACCTAATTTATTTTGCGACACACAGAGTCTGGGATCAATGCAACGTGGTGCAAGATTACTTGACAGTGTACGACGGCGGTTCAACCTCCGACAAGGTGTTGGTTAGACTTTGTGGAGGTGACGCGGTGCCAGACATAGTTAGCAGTCATAACACGATGCTTTTGGAGTTTCACACGTCTCCGTACGACAATCCCTTTCATCCAGTTCCTTTGTCGTTCTTGCCCGGCTTCGAGCTCGAGGTTCAGGTAATTTCTCCAACGATTCCTAACTGTTCAATCGTCGATCGCCCTCCTCTGATCCGCCCCGTTGTTCAAAGGTGCTGTTCGTGGACGAGAAATCCCGGAGTTTCGTCAAGGAGAACAACAACTGCGACTTTTATATATCCAGCGACGAGAGCTCGTCCGGCGTCCTGGAGAATCCGAAACACTCGCTGCCGCCGAACACGACTTGCCGCTACCATTTCCAGGGGAAACCGAACGAGATCGTTTGGCTGTCGTTCGTCAAGTACTACGCTGCCAGTGCCGACGCCGCGGCGAGCATCGACGTCGCCTCCGACTGCAACGCCAAGCTCCTCATCTGGGATGGTGATCGCGCGCTAGATAAATTAATTCTTACGCGTAAGGTGCGTCAAATTTTGACAAATTTGTCGCTGACTTCTCTCGTTTATTTAATTTTTAATATTATAATATAATATAATTTATTATATATATATTAATAAATATATATCATATAATTTATTATTATTATACATATATTTTTATTATAATAGTTATTATATTAATTTCATTTATTATTTTTAATTTAAGTAAATTTTTTTCAGTAATCAACAAAATTAATTTAGAAAAAAGAAAATTCCATTTGAATGTGGCTTCAATCCAATTTCCAAATTTGTACTATCATTTTCAATACCTTTTCTTTTGAAAATTAGATTATTATCTTTAATTCTTGGTATTCAAATTACGTTGTTGATTCACTATTTAAATTTTTTTTTAAAATAATTAATATAATTTTATTATTTTTATTTACAATATTATTTACATTAATTGTAGAACGAATAATAGGATATTTATATTAGAACGTTTCGTTCTGAAGTATCTTTGAATTTAATCGTCGTTCGTAGAATATCACTCTGCTGGGGCAGTTCTGCAAGGACGACACGCCGCGTCTCTGCGACCATAGTCTGCTGCGGAACGGGAGTCGCCACGCGAGGCCGTGCAGCCTCGCGGAGAGCTACGTCTCCACCGGCAGGGATCTCACCCTGGAGCACATACTGCGTCAAGGAAGTGCACTTTATCCGATAAGCTTTGTACTGCGTTACGAGTTCGTGCACGAGGCGGCTTCCTGTAACCACGTGTTCGGCTTTGCATCGGCTTCATCCACGTCTTCCACTTCATCCTCTTCGTCCTCTTCGTCGTCGTCGTCGTCGTCGTCATCATCATCATCATCATCATCATCGTCGTCATCGTCATCATCGTCGTCATCGTCATCGTCATCGTTATCTTCATCATCATCGTCGTCGTCGTCGTCGTCGGCGTCATCGTCATCATCCTCTTCTTCCTCTTCCTCCTCCTCGTCTTTACTGCCATCGCCTGCCAAAGCAGGGAAATTCGCGTCGCCGAGAAGTGTATTCTTTTACGGTCGTGGTGGTGCGCAGAACGTTAGCTGTGTGTATCGTTTCGAGGCCGAGCCGGACCACAGGATAGAACTGTCCATAAGCAAGGCCTCGTTCGGAGATAAGGGATGTTCCTCGTACGTAGACCCGCTGGTCAATCGGTGGACTTGCGATCGACGAATCGGCGACTCTACGAAATTCGGCACGGCGGAGTTGGTCGTCGCCGAGTATCCATGGCAGGGAGTGGAATTGGTACGTCCTTCGCAACATTTGTTCCTTCTTTTTTTCAATTATCTTATCGTCGACAAGACAGTATAATACAATTCTCACGCCTCTGTTTTCTGTTCAGGTCCGCGATTGCCTGTGTTCGAACGTGAGCGACCGGATCGTGCTGAGAACCCTGACGTCGAACGTGATCGAGGTTCGGTTCACGGTGACGTTGATGAACGTCACGCAGGACTACAGGGACTTCTACTTCGAGGGGGAGTACCGTTTCGTCGCTCTGGGGGCGGAGACCAGCGAGCAGGGATGCTCGACGAAGCTCGAGGAGCGACGATTGCGCGGGACCAGCGGCGAAATTTCCCTGAGAAGTCCTCTGCCGCGGGTGATACCCGGCGTCGCCGCCGTAGAGGAGATCCTGACCAATACGGAGGATCTGACTGCGACGCAGTGCGTGAACGAACCGTGGCTGATAGAGCCGGAGGACGCGCGCATCAATTATTTGTACTTAAGAACGGCTGGATACAGCATCACGTTGGACAACGTCGAGGAATGCACGACGCTGAACAGAATCGTCGTCTATTCGGCGGCGAACACGAAGGATCGTAGCGTGATATGCCCGGAGGGTGGCGTCGACACTGCCAGAACCGTGGACTTTTTCTCCGGTGGTTGGAACTACAGTGCCATTAACACTACCGTGGCCATGATGCAGCATTCAAGGAGCTTCGTCGTCGAGTTCCTCCAGAGGGAGCCTGGATTTTACGCGGTCACGTGGATGGCCATTTCGAAAAGGTCTCCGAGTTCCAGTATCGGGCCCAATATCTTTACTATACTGCCGCACGAGGACTGCCCTTATCGGTGAGAATGATTTCTGCTTTGTATCATATATCCCGATACAATCAAACCAATCAATGAGCCTTTTATTTCTGAAAGTGGCCTGAGTCTATTTTCCAAAGAAAAAAAGAAAAAAAAAAATTGAGCTAGCTGCTTTAATATTTACATTGCATCTTTACATTTTTTAAACAAAATTGTAAGTAATACGTTTAAAGTCACTAAGGTTTTGTACATACAGAAAATTGGCTGATTGATAGAATGACAAATATTTTGATTTTGAAAGTGGCTCAAGTCCCATTTTAAGAGTTTCAAACTGTAATGAAGCGTATTATGCAGTAAAATTTTATAAGATCAGCTCAGATAGTGATTTTTTTAAATAATGATAATTCCATTAAATATGTAATTTTAATATATTAACACAAACAAACAAGCAAGTAAGAAAGATCACTAATGTGATAAAAATTGGTAATGGTAACCCAATTGATATTGCGCAATCTACTTTTCTAAAGTTTCCTGAATGAATAATTTATCTGACTGTGTTTTAAAAGAAATTTCATCGTTTTCAAAAGGGATTTGTCCCGTTTTAAAAATTGATAAAGTTATTCCATTAATTTTGAAAGTGGCTCATCAGAAACCTGTCATTTTCTAAACAACGTTTCATCGTTTAACTGAGTTGGTAATATAATTGGGTTGGTAAACTATACAACCTTGGAAACACGAAAACATTATACTACCATGTTATCAGTTTCCATATATTTCTAAATTTATTAGAAACCTCAAAGATTCAAAGACAAATGGACTTGGGCCACTTTCAAGTAGACTTTGAAAAAAAAGACTGAGAAAGAAAAGGAAGACAATGATTTAAACATGTTTATTTTCATCTCGCAGATGCCCCGAGATTCAAGCGTGCATCAGTTCTGTCTTATGGTGCGACGGTATCCGCCACTGCCCCTCCGGCTTCGACGAGGAGGAGACCAACTGCTCGTACCGTTTCGGCGTGACGTTGCTCTACGTGGCCGTAGGCGCCGGCGCTCTAGGTATATTCCTGATTCTGTTGCTCGCCACCGGTTGCCTCAAGTACTGCCTCTACCGGCACAAGGCTCGCAAGAAGAAAAAGAACGTCGTCCTCAACGTTAATCACCTCCACGTGAATCACACGCACCACAACAACGGCCTCACCGGCAGTCGCTTGAGCGGCCGCTACAATCTCGCCACGCCGCAAGAGATGTATCTGGAGAACTACGGGAAGGACAGTATTTGTTGACAATACGCCATTGCCAATATCGAGACCACCGTGTGAATACCGCAGGATTTTTAACAAAAATACGCCTACCTCGCTGGCCTCTTCGATCCGCATCCCTCCCTCCCCTCCCCCTGACCTTCACCACTCACCTCTCTCGCGGAGGGAACGGAAGCGAACGACAACGTTTCCCCAACAACCAAAAAGGACAAAAAGAAAAAAAAGAGAAAAAAAAAAACAGAAAAAAAAAAGAAAAAAACAAACATGTACGCAATAATCGTATTAAAACTCTCGTAGACCAATTCGAAGGCATTTAACGGATGGGAGCGGGTCACGGATTGTTTCGAAGTCTCGACCACGATCCACGATTTGTTGTCTCGAAACGACCGTTTCGTTTGAAACCAGGGGAGAGAAAGAGAAAAGAAAGAAGGGGGGGAGGGAGAGGGCGTCCCTTTTAGCGGGGCTACTACTTGCCGAGTTTTTCTTTCGAATCGGATTACGGACTGGAGGATCAAGGGGGATCCCGAGTTTTCACGACGAAAGTTCCGAGAAACAGACGAAGAGTGGATCGAATCGACGAGAGAGAATCGTCCGGCGCTGCTCGAATCAATTCGTGTACGTTGGTTTTCACGGTGAAGCCGCCGTATCACAGTAGCACTAGGAACACACGTTTTCTGTTTTTAGGTTTAAAGCAACGCGTGACGACGTGACGAAGGGAGAAACGAAGCATACGGGGCGTGAACGATTATTAACTGCCGGGGAAAGAAAAGAAGAAAAAAGAAAAACACGCATGGCTGATGATGCGTATGAATATATGCTTTTAAAATGAAGTAGGAATCTGTAATTTGCATCGAGAGAAAGAGAGAGAGAGAGAGAAAGAAAGATTGAGAGAAGGAGAGAATGAGAGTAAGAGAAAATAAGAGAGAGAATTTTTATTATGGTCGGTTGCCGGGAAACGAGTGTCACAAACGTCCACGACGAGAAACGACGCAGAACATAATAAAATTGAACGAAACGGGGCTACTGTGATTTATCGAAAAAGAAATTTCAAAAAAGGAAACGAGGACCTTGGTCGCGTTTTATCATTACGATAAAACAATGTATAAAAGATTTGAAAAAGGCTGAGAAGACAAAAAAAGAAAGAGAGATTATTTCGACCGATATTTTTCATTCTCTCAAACCAAGCCGGTTCTGCTCTATAATTTTTTAAATTTCGTCGTGTTTGACGAACATTCACGTGCAATTTACTGTAAGGAATCATACGACCAAACGCATCATCATTGGACCCTCCGGTTTCCATCTTACTATCTGCGTCGATCCGTCGACAAACTCCATCGTTTTTTGTAAGAAACACGCAGCCACCATCACGATCACTAACGCGAGAGCGTAGCAACATAACGTCTTCTGTATACTGCCATTTCTAGGGGTTTTTTTTTTTTCAGTTCGGAAAATCCACCGCCTCTTCTCCGGGGCAGGGGGAGGTGGGCATGCACTGAAAATCCGGTTGTCGATACTCTATGCTCCCGCGTTAACCGCGTTTGATCCTGACCTATTCAGATTTCGTAACGTACGTTAACAAAGATGAATATAACATATAGTTAAAAGTCACACATGTAACCTAGGTTTGATATTTCGATGCGCGAGGCTTGACTGGGACGTAGAGTTTGATGTATAGTTGATTAACCCGTTTAAACGAGTGCGCGAGAGAGAAGGCGAGAGAAGCGAGCAACATGATTGAGGTTGACAGACGCATACATTGTAACCCTATTACGAAAGTGTTAACTACTTAAAAAGACAAAAAAAAAAAAAAAAAAAAAAAAAACAAAAAAAAAAAAAAAAAA